GAGAGAGAGAGAGAGAGAGAGAGAGAGAGAGAGAGAGAGAGAGAGAGAGAGAGAGAGAAGACTGTGATCTTCCTCCACTAGGTGGCGAGATCCGACACCAACCTACGCGTCGGCTTGCGGGTTTTCCCCAACTAGGTATCTCCCACCAGCGTGGCACCGCTCCAGCCGCCAGCCGGTACTAGCTTTAAGCTCCCATCCGGTCTTCCGGTATGTGCCGTAGTGTGGTGAATGTAAGTGTGTGTGTGTGTGTGTGTGTGTGTGTAAGTAAGTAAGTGGCGAGAATAGGACAAGGAAGAGAAAGAAAAGATCGCGCGCTGTGCGAGACCCGTTTGTTAGGGCACTCCTCCGGAATCGCCTGATGTTGATCGGAGAAATCACAAAAAAAAAAAAGAACAGAGCAGCCGATTACTATAATTCTCTTTCAGACAGCGGCTTAAATCGATCTAGCTATGCAGCTAGCGACGAAAGTCCTGCAACCGACGGAACTTGAACCTCCCGATCAGTGACATTGCAAACCATCGTGGAAAGGGAGATAAGAAAAATTGAAGAACCTTTAAAAAATCTTTGTGTACGGCAGCTAACCTGTTTACGGCCGGTCTGGAGAGCAAAAGTCACTAAGGTTGAATTGGTAACTGCCTTGGCTTGAATGATCGCGAGTTCGAATCTCGCCCGGGCATGGATGTTTGTGTATGTAGTCAGTATGTGTTCACCCATCGTTACCCCAAAGTTAAAAGAAAAAAAAAAAAGCTTCAGTGGTCGCTATATGACCGAGCAGTTGAAAAGCGAGTTTAAAAAAGGCTGTTTAGCCCACCGCAAATTCTACGCTAAAAGCTGGAAACCGGCATGTACTGATGTCCACTGCTACTATTCAGCAGAGCGGTCGTTGGTTTCTGTAATATTATTCTCTGGCACCATGGTCATTCTTGCTTCTGCCCTACTTTTATAACAACCTTGCTAACTTTTCCACAATACACAATCATCTCCGTCTCATTTCACTTCCTCCCATCAGCAATTCGCGTTTCCAAATGCAGTACACTGCAGTTTTCACTCCAATAAAACTTACCATAGATATTCCATATTCTTACGACGGCATTCTTTCTTCCTTCTTTTTAGACTCCCCTAATAATCTTGTGATAACGTACTAGAGAAATGACAATATCAATGTTACTTTGTTTTTATTACTACACGTAAACTATAAAGCATGAATACAATTTTTTGCAGTAAAACTTTTAAAATTTTAAAGATTTTTTTTTTCAAAACTCATGTCCTGGAAACTAACACTCACCACCACTGTTTATTGATTGGAAAGTAATAATTTGCGGACCAAAATCACGGACGTATAAAATACTGGGTACTTCAAGGTAAACAGAGCACTAGGTTGATATTAATCAACATTACTGACGCCTAGCCAATTGAAAATTATTCTTAGAGAATATACTGATAAGTGTCCCAAATTTTACTAAAATATAATGTACGCAACTCGTACGAAAATGGGGCTTTGGCGTACTCGTTTCAAAATACAGGACTCGGCTCCCATTGTCGCCTCGTCCGTTAAAATGTCTTTCGTCCGCCAAAGACACACTTTCTGTACTTGTTACGTAAAGAACTATTTTATTTCATATTTTCTGAAGATAATTTCTTTTTTTACATGTAAAATACATTTGTATTTCTGATATAATTTATTTCAATTTGTGGTCGATCTACACGACGTCTTCAAAAGTCTATTTAATTTCAAATAAT